TATATATATATATATATATATATATATATATATATATATATATATATATATATATATATATATATATATATATATATATATATATATATATATATATATATATATATATATATATATATATATATATATATATATATATATATATATATATATATATATATATATATATATATATATATATATATATATATATATATATATATATATATATATATATATATATATATATATATATATATATATATATATATATATATATATATATATATATATATATATATATATATATATATATATATATATATATATATATATATATATATATATATATATATATATATATATATATATATATATATATATATATATATATATATATATATATATATATATATATATATATATATATATATATATATATATATATATATATATATATATATATATATATATATATATATATATATATATAAAATTCTTGGACAAATACTCAGACATTCTAACTCTATCAGCACATACTCTGTTCGCCAGCGTCTTGGTACCCGTCAGTCTTCTCTATTATGGAATGAAAACATGACAAAGCTCAAAAAAACAAGACAAAACGCAACAAAAACAACATTAATTCTCCACATTAAGGCTAACAGTGCAAAAACAACAACAAGAAGAGCGGCTGCTAAAAATAAGCACCGGCCTCCTTCAAAACAACGGCCTTATGTCTTCATTCTTACAGGCATGAATTAGATTTAAAAGATTAAGCATGTCTGCATAAGCCAGATCAATCACTTTTTCTTGTTTTTTCTGTTTCTTTGTTCTTTGTAAAATCCTAACACTGAAGATACTGGGACAGATTCTCCAAAGACCTTTAAATAATTTGATATTTTTATGGAAATGATATGCTAGCAGACATCAGACTTACTTTAATTAGCATTAAGAACGAAAAGAAGAAAAGAAATACAGAATTTAGACATTTTATTTATTTTTTATTAAATTAATGTTTCCCAGAGATGGGTTGCAGCTGGAAGGGCATCCGCTGTGTAAAAACGTACTGGATAAGTTGGGGGTTCATTCTGCTGTGGCGACCCCGGATTAATAAAGGCACTTAGCCGACAAGAAAAT